CGCCACCGCGCAGACATCGCTGATTGTCAGTGATGCCGATGCCAAATTCCAATTTAGGAGCTCAGCAAACCAGTGTTGTCATATGCAAGGATCTTCCTCTTAGGATGGTAGGAGAAGTGTGCTCCGCAGCAAAATTTGGAGCAATTCAGGACACATTTCGCGATCCTAAGTCACAATCTGACAGAATCCATACGATGTGGTCTGAAAAGGACTGCACTTACGCAAATACTAGGCCTAAAAGCATGTTCATTTAGAGCTTGGTGGCAGTAAAAATACGATAGACTGCAAGTGAACTAGGATTGCATACAAAACGACATTACATTACACCTTCTCTCTACTTTGGCATGCAGCCAGCTCTGTCCGATGCGCATATTAATAGGCTACTGAGGCTAGCGCTCATCACACTTTTCTTGTCATAACATATATAAATATCTGTCTGTCTGTATGTCTATGTATCCGTATGTATGATTGTGTGAATGTATTTATCTGTTTGTGTATGTCTGTATGTGTGTATGCATGTATTAATGGGCTTATAAATGTATGTATATATGTTGTGTGTATGCATTTAAGTGTGAATGTATGTATATGTTGTGTGTGTGTGTATGTAGGTGTGAATGTATGTATATGTGATTGTATGTATCCATGTATATATGTTTACGCGCATTCGTGTGAACTTATGTATGTATTTGCATCTCCCTCAAATAAAATGTGCTTTGATGGCTTCATTTCGGCCTGCTGCCTTGATGCAACATCGTCTTAGGCCCATCCCTGATGTGCAGATTTTGCTTGCTACGAGTTGTCCGATAAATCGCCTCATCCACTGGCTGCATTCTTAAAGGCCGAACGGACGACAGAGGCCTCTTCCTATCGGCCAGTCGAGTTGTGAGACTGAGCCTGAGCGAAGCCGACGGCTCTGTTGACACGCTGCGAGTCGGCTGCTTGACTCGAGCCAGTCGCCCGCGGAGATGAATCCCTGCCCAGTCTGGTCATGGCAACTGCTTTCGTGCCGTGGAGCCGGCCGGCAACAGGAGGTGCTCGACCTCCGACCCGGCCTGGTAAACCAGCCTCTACAG